ATCTTCTGCTGACAGTTCCTCCAGCACAAAATTCCTCACTATTTTAAACTATGTTATCCTATGGGCAGTATTTCAAAGGGGTTAACTCTGCATCCCTAAAGATTGCTCCAAATTCAGAAACTCTCTGTAGCAAACAGAATGCTCTTTCAAAAACTCAACCTAAAAAGGCTGTCAAAAATCACTCCATCAATTGCTGGCAAAACTGCACTGCTTCAAACACTGCTTCAAAGGTGACGTTAGAGCTCTAAGAATTCCTTTTAAAAACAGTGAGCAAAGCACAGGCACTTTCTCAACAGCACGGGTTTTACCAAGGAAACGGAGAAGGTATGAGTAGGATGTATGGAAAGAAAGAATGAAAACATGGTCTGAATCTCAGAAAAGTCTCTCTCTAACATGTTTATATTTGTTTTGAAAGATTCGTGGATGCAAATTCACTCTTCAGGACCTATAATACACGTACAAAATACATATAGATTGTCCTAGAAATAGGCTACTGCATGCACAGGGTAAGTTTTTCATCGCTTGTACACCCACTTGTGCATTCTCCATTTGCAGCTACTTTCTCTCATAATGAAAGACTCACACGCTTAACAAAGACTGAGAAGACCAACCAACCAGCCATCTCTAAATATGCCTGTGGATACACCCTCCAGGTCAGGTCGTGTCTGATATTAAAGTGATACAACATTTATTCTTTGACAAATAAAACTTTGGCAATAACACCTGAATACAAAGTCTGCATTGTGCTTCGTTCATTACAAACAGCGGTGGTGCTAGGACTTCATAGCTTTGCTCTGAGAATACCAAAGAATATTCATTCTGTTTGGAAAAGCCATGAATTTGCAGTATTGATGGATAGCAGCATTTGGATTTGTATAAGCATTTTTATTTTGTTTTCCAGAGTATCCATGGAAGCAGCGCATGCGTGTGCTGCAGTTCCCACATTCGTGCGCATTCATCCAAGCTGGAAGTCTCGCAAATAATGGTGCAAATGTGCATTTGTGCAAGTTTTCAAGTCATAAATGATTTACTCTCTTCTTCCTCCCAGTTATAAAGGTTCCAACCACCCAGTCAGGAAGGACATGAGAATTAAATAACCAATTGCACCACTTGAAAAGTAAATGGCAAACAGGGAATACTAAAAGCAGGAGACACAATGGCTTCAAAGAGATTCATATGCTGAAGTGTTTAATAAAACACTCTTTGAATACATTTAAATTTAAATTACAAGTACATTACTTGATTTTGTATCTTGATGTTGCGAGCAGAGCTCCCTGTTGTGAGCTGTCCTATTAACTTCAGCATGATTGTCCACCAAGATAAGCAGTTTCAGCAGATAAAGTGGTGTTTTTTAAATCTTTTCATTTCTTCTAGGCAAATATTTAACAGCACATCCTCCTTGTAAGACTGTGCAAGGCTTTCATAGTTGTGCTGAGCATTTACTACAGGAATAGGGGTTGCTGGAAAATTATGGTGGCTTAACCTCTCTTTCTTGGGTTAGCTTGACCACGAAAAGATTATTCATTAAATACACAGCACCATAGCACAAGTGTGTACACAGGTCAGAACAGCAGCCATTGAAATGGGTCTGATTTGCTTCTATTATTAACTTGTGGATTGGGATGGAAATTTCAGGTGTGATCAGCTGCATTGCTGCATGGGACTTCATCCGAAACTTCTTACTCCAGCGACAGCTTAACTGTAGCTGTCAAAACTGCAGTTATCACAGATGCTGTGTCCCCAGAAAACCAGAAACCAGCTTTGCCAGGGAGCCCCTGGGCCATTTTACTGCAGAGGCTCAGGCGAATCGCATCCACTTCTGCTATGCTCACATTCACACCAAGAATTATTTTAAACAGTTTCCTACTTAAGGCAATTACCTTGGATCAAAATCTTAAAACTCCATGCAGAAATACTGCTATTATTTAAAATTCACTCAATGAGCCTCCTACCTCCACCTCTGACAAACACACTAAAAGAACAAAATTGGGATTATATAGGCAAGAGCTTGACTGATATATCATTAATGCTACTTCTTGAGTGACTAAGCTCCATAGTAGTATCGCCTACTAGTACTGAATATGATTTCATCCCCAAGACAACTGCAGCTCCAAACAAAGATAATAGGCTGGATCGCTAAACTATTTCTCTCCAGTTATCATTATGATGTTCATTTGTGGTAAAATGCTGTCTCAAAGAAGAAAACCAGGAAAACATCAAGGAACATGTAATAATTTGATTAGAAGATTATTCTTTTCCATTCTGTTTCAACAATTTGGTTTGAAATCTTGAAACTGGGAATAGAGGTCATTGTTCAAAACCGGGCTTAGAGGTTGTTTTATGGATATAGTTGAGACGCATTTCAATGGAAAATTTCAATTGACCTGAATTTACTTGGTGAAATGCTTTATTCATGTCAAAAGCAACTTGGGAGGCCATTTAAGGTATTTTCAGCTTTGTACATTGGTGTCTTTGATTTGTCTTTCGAGATGAGTCAGCTGGTGCTTAAGACCATTAAAATAAATTAAGTTGTTTTTTATAATTATTAGTTCAAAACACAGAAAGAGTTCTAAAAATAGGTTTGAGGCCAGACTTTTTCATCACATGCAAAAATCTATACCTGAAATCATCTTCTTGCCGTGCATCTCCTCAGAGTTGCAGCTGTGATGTTGATTTTATTAGAGACTCATCCACTCCGAATGAGTGATGCTCTGAAGCAGTCAAGGGGGTGTTGCTTTAAACCAGCTTCTAGTTTTATTATTTTATGGAACAAAAGAACCTTTCCACGTGGAAATCAAAGTCCCACGATATGGCTTAAAACATGAATAATGTAATGCATCTATAGATTTTATCTTACAAAGGCAGAACATACCGAAAATGTAGGAGAGAATATCTGTGAACAGATGACAGCTTTCTCAAAATTGTCCATTCTTAGCACATATTTGACAACTTTGAAATTTGTAAGTTTGCAATTGCATTATGAGCATTTGAATTTTGAGCAGAACAGCTCAGCTGCTGGTGGATAGATGGGGCCCATGAAATGCTTTTTTCTCCCCTGAGTTGATGAGGATTCAAGGTTCACTTGCACACAAGTGCTGCATGCAGTTTTCCAGCAAACACCCTTGGAAATAAAACATGCCCAGGAAGGCAGAGGCACTGCCCCAGGGATGCAATGGGATCACAGACCAGCCGGCATTACCGGGCACTGGTTGCAATGCTGCCCCTTTCCCTGACATCTTTCTTTTGAGTAAAGTTTTGACTTAAGCTAAAATCAAGGCAAAAATTCCAGCAGTTTCAGTCAAAGCTGCACTTCATTTCAATGAATGAGATTCCTGGAAGACCATACAGAGATCCTGACTTCAGGAAACTCGGGGATTTCTCCTGGAGATGATGGGCCCAGCCTAGCAGAGCAACTCCCGTAAGATGCAAAAAAACTTACTTTCTATGGAAAAGGAAGACTGAAGGCACTAGAACAAGCTCAGTGAAGATGACAAGATTTGGTTCAAGCAGAAGATGCTCAGCATCTCTCAAGAAAACTCAGGAGCTCTCAGATGCAAGCCCTTATTTTCCAAGTATCATGATAGCCCACACCGAGAGTTAGATTTCCTTTAGGAGTCATAAAGCCAAGCATTATTATTACCCATAAATCTTTACATTTCAGTAATCCTTTTTCTCTTTATTGTCTAAAAATATTTTCTTGTCCCACAGCTATTCTACGTATGCATCCTATCACTAGGTAGCAAAGCTGGTAATTTAGAAGGAAAATTACATTACACTGTAGCCTTTAATTGTTAGGGAAAGGAGAAGATGAGAATAGACGTGAGGATGAGGTGCTCCTACGACACCACAGCCTTTCCTGGGGAGAAAAGCCACCTCTGAACACAGCTGCTAGACTGAACTATAGCTGGGCTCATCTGGGCTGAGCCGTCAGAATAAACCGCAAAACCAGGCTTATAAAGTTCATGTGTGCTAAGTTGAGCTGATGGAATTGGGCGCAATGCAGCCACTATGCCAAGCACATTACTGTGGGAAGAAAGACTCCGGCATACCCTCTACCCCCACGAGCCCCAGAGCAGCAAAAGTCAACAGCTTTCCTCCACGCTCTCCCTTTCACACAGCATCACTGGTGCTCTGGAAGACGTTCACACAGAGGAAACAGACACAGTAGATGAGGGGGTTCAGAGCCCCATGGCACTGGTCCCACTGCCAGCACCAGCCCTCAGCGTGTGTCCCTTTCCTTGGGACATGCCGATTTCCCACGGTCAGAGCTCCGTGCACACGGCTAACAGATGTGTTTTCCCATCTGGACTTCCCGATCTGCTACGCCGAACCCTCGGAACACCCATGTGTTTCTTTGTCCCGGCAGTTACCCACCGCGCCTTCGCTACAACTCCATTTTCAGAGGTAATGCCACATGTTTGGCTTCTGCGGGGAGTGGGGTGCCCTGCTACCCATCTCAGCCACTAAAACACATACCCTTCCCTTTGTTAATCTTATTCAGCCTGACCCTTGGCTCTGTACTAAGTAACCGCGAGTCCAAACCAAAGCACTTGAACAGTAGCAACATCATCTTCAACCAGGCTCTCGGTATGTGTATCGGAGGGTACACAGGGACGAACTTGGATTTCCACTGTCCCGCCCGAGAGCTGTGGCCAAGCCCCAGAGCCGCTGAGGCCAAAACCCTAGGGGGTCCCTGGCCCCGAAGCCTGTAGGGCTCCGATGCACCCCAAAGCCCCGAACCCGCCAGAACCCCTCAAAGCGCTGCAGCCCCGTCGGGGGCCACGAAGCGAGGTCGCTCCCTTGGGCAGTGCTCCCCCGGGCAGAGCTCCGCATCCCGCCGCCCGGTTCCCATGGCAATCTCGGAGATGCCGGTTGCCACGGTAACGCCATCCTCCTCCTCGGCCGTGTCCGAGGCAGCGGCGCGGCTCCGGCTCTGCCCGGCGGCTCCGGGCGCGCAGCCGGTCCCCCCGGGAAGTTGCTCTCCCGTTAACCCTCGGTACCTTCGAGGCAGCAGATCCTCCAGAGCCCCGAGTGCGTGAGATCTCCCCTCGCCCGCCGCGGCGGTCCCTGCGCCTCGTCCGTCGTGATGTTGGTGCCGTTGCAGATGTGAGCGCTGGAGTAGAGCCAGTAATCGGTGCCGATGGCGATGGCCATGAGGCTGAAGGCGGCGAAGGCTCCCACCGTGGTCAGCAGCATCTGGACGCCACGGTCACACCACACCATGGTGCTTCATAGTCCCCGCACGGGCGCGGGGGGCCGCACGACACCGCCCGGCAGCCGCCGCCGCCGCCCGCGGGAGGCAGCCGAGTCACGGGGCGGGGGGCGGAGGCGGCGGCGGGGGCAGAGCGGGGCGGGGGGGAACCGCTCTCCGCCGCCGCGGGGCCGGGCTCCACCGCCAGCCGCGCCCCGCCCCGCCCCGGGAGGGTGGGAGCGAGGGAGGGGCCGCCCGGCCGTGGAGCACCGGGAGCTGCGCTCGACCCCGCGGTGCTAGGAGAGCCCCGACCCGCGGCCCCGAGCATCGCTTTGCTGCGCGGGCGCGGAGCGCTCTGTCGGCGGCCGGACCGCGGTGCCCCGTCTGAAGGGGGAAGTTGGAAGGGGGCAAAGGGGCGAGCGGTGCCGGCTCCGCACCCCGCGCACGGCAGGACGTGCCTGGAGCCGCTGCCCAGCTGAGGGTGCAAATCTGATGTCTGTCGGGTCCGCACATCTGCCCCTGCCCTGGGAATCACCGCAGGGATGGTGCCAAAACCGGGGCGCAAAGTGCCGCAGTCCCAAGAAGGGTGCCCGGGTTGTGGGGAGCCACAGGCAGAGCAAACGGGGTGGGTGTGTTAGCCATCATCTCCTGCAGCCCCACGCAGCGCAAGGAGGTGGTAGGCAACTATTTGGGCTGCTGGTTTCCTCCTGTTTGGAAAGGGATGGAGAGAATTCGGCAATTTTCTGTTGGAAAACCGAAGGGAGAAATATCTACACCATTTTTTATCATGTTACTCTGCTTCCCACCCCTGACTCTCATCACTGCGAGTTGACAAGTCTGTCCTGCCTCCACCTCATCCAAGTGACAAGCCAGATGAATGGGAAGCCTTCCTGATCAGCTAATGCATTTGTGTGGAGGGAGCGTGGCAGCACACCAGCTTTATGTATATGAATTAGGGAGTGGGAGGACAAGAGCTACAAACCTCGAGAAATACAGCGCTCTTCCCGAGCAGTGCGTGGATGGCTGCAGGTGCTTGTGTGACTCCGCTGCTCAGTATTCCAACGCAGAGATGCTTTTCAGCTGCTTCTCCTTGCCATAAAAACTGGGAAGGCAAAAAGCAAAATGCAGATTAAAAGCTGGTATTTATTTCACAGAGACCTTAGCAAATTGCTCAGACGTGAAGCCTGTAAGCACAGAAGAGCTCTACATGAGGTGTTTGGTTTAAGCATGTCAATTATGCTTTTCTTTTCAGCTGTAGCTTGTAGGGCTATCACTGCCTTTGCAAAATCACCTTCTAAATGAATGGCTCCATTAGGGATGGAAGAATGAAGTCAGGTAAACTCAAAAGCAGGGTGAAGCCTCGTTCAGGAAAACTGGATCGAGCATTTAAGTTTAATGAGGTTCAACAAACTTCTCGGTTAAAATATATGTTTGTACCTCTGGGCTTTGGGGGTTTGGACAGAGTGGGAAAATGAGATACTGAAACAGCGGGAGAGAAGCCATTTCCATAGCTTTTTAAACCCATCGAGCCTTAATTAATATTATTTATTTGTATTACTGCATTGCCTGAGAGAGCTGCTCCTGGCTGGTTCTCCATAGCGAGGAAAGGGGAAGGGCCATCACGGGGCAGGACTCCAACATGGCATGGAAATACCCTTCTCAGGTGCTCCCAGTCCAGACGTGCAGCAAGAGGCAGGATGAATGGTCTGGTGGGCTCTCAGCAGCCTCTGCCAGCAGAAAACAGACACATGGCTTCCATGGGCTCCGAGCCACCAGCCCTGCAGCAACCCTCCCACATAGCCCTACTGATTGTGCAAGGTAACAGGACATTCACAGAATTCATTAATACAAATCTCTGCTCCTCATCCTCCCCCTGCATTTTGCAAAGGAAGTGTCTGTTTCGACTGCCTTGTGAGAAGTAACTCAGGTTCCTAAAGGGTTACAGAGCAGCATCCAAGGCAGACAATCATTTTCTGCCCAAGCTGTCTTTTTCAGTTTAGAATTTTTCTCTGTTCTTTTGAAATGCATGAAGTAGATCGTGGGAGAGCTAATATTATATTCCACTACTGAAAGCTGGAGTATTTTACATTGATGTCTGGCTTTAGTGATTTTCTAAGGATTTTGAATTCATTAAATCCAACCATTGAATAATCTCCATTTGTGGCAAAAGGAAGGCAAAAATGCTTGAACTCCTCAGTAGCAAAAAAATCATGTAGTCTTTTCTTACATGCAAAAGCTATCTGACCTGCTATATGTAGTAGAGGTTGGCCATCATAAAACTTCTGATTTGCAGACTTGGCTTATGATACAGCCTTATAACGCACTGTTGAAAGTAGCAGTAGAGCAGCCTTGGTGGGGTGTTTTGCACTGCAGTAGCATCCTGTCCTCAATCAGAATTAAAGACCCAATTGTTCCAAGCTCAGACCAGAGAGAAAAGCTCATGACAATGACAAGAGAAAGCCCCACAGCTTCCCCCTCTGATTTAGCCCCCAGAGGACACCATGCAAGAGCAAGTATCCAAACCCAGCAATACTTCTTACATTGGAGAAACAGAAACTTGAAGCAGAATTGTTTTGATTCCTTGATGTCAATGTTCAAAGCTTTAAATGAAATCCCGTGCCTGATCATTTTATTTCCGAACTGAATAACAGTTACTTTGGAGATGAAACTTGAGCTTTAACCAAATTCAGCAAGAGCTGTCACTAATAAAATCCTGCCCCAGAGACACCACTGATAGCCGAAAAAACTCAAGATGTTACCATTTAACACTACTGCTTCTGCTGCCAAGTGTCAAACACATTGAAACACATTGACTTTAACAGATTAGTCTTTTCCCTTTTTTTAATCTATCATCTAGAAAAATTACATCAGAATTTCACCAAGAGAAACTTTTTGGGAGTTGCTCAAGAAAAATTCAAGAGAGTTCTTTCTCAGAATGAAATAATCATTTCAATGAAATAGCCCTTTTGATCTGAATACAGCCTAACCATCAGCCAAGCCTGGAACAGATACTCTGTCCTCCCTTGTTCTTTCTCAGCTTTTGGCTTTACACATGTGAGAATGAAGTTTAGCATCTAGGAATGTCCTAAAGCTATAAGAACATCTATATAATTAACTATTATCTCCTGTGGGTCTTAATATCTTTCCTATTTATTTCAATGCTAATATTAGGGAAAAACTCCTTAATTTCCTTCAGATTATCTACCCATGACGAATGGGAGAAAGGCCTCATACATTTTGTACAGTGTCAGATAATCTCCTTTTATACACAGAGCAATGGTGGGATTTGATTCAACTCATCAGATTAGCAGCAGAGCTTCACAAGCACAAAGATCTCCAGCCTGAAGAAAGAACCTTGCAAGACTATGGGATGTGGCAGGAGGTATCAGTTATGTCACAGGTATATGTAAGAGGAATAATACTGAAGTTGTTCATGGAACTATATTTTCCATACACCTTGCAGATCAGTGTGACACCTACTGAACTGCACTAGGAGACCTTTGTAGAGATGGATCCAAATGACTTGCCAAGCTCATAAATTCTACAGCAAAACAAAGGCTGAATTAACTTCTGAGGTCTAATACAGTACCTGAACTACTGATCCCTTCTATTATCATTCATCATATATTGGAATGGCATGGCATCTTTCACCTCTGGGGACCCTACACCCTGTGGAGGGTCGTCTTCTTCCAGCAAGAAGAAGTCACCATCACATTTCAGAGAGTTAAATCTAAAAAAGGGTGAACTTGATTTTTATTTGAGGAGTTATGAGGCTGAATTTATTCTTTAGTCCTATTAAAAGGCCATCTGAAGTCAACATGAATAGTTTCACTTTGTCCCTCAGAGCTGAAGAATTGGTCGTCTTAAAGGAAAAATATTGTCGTTCTCTTGCCACTCGGTAGACAACAGCTTGGCCTCGGTTCTATTATTCCTTTTAATGTATTAAATATTCCTTGGCTTAGTCATGGGAAGCAAAGCAACACAACTGCTTTCTAATAAATAAAATGTGCTCAGAAGCAACTCTGAAGCTTTCCAGATAACTGCATTTCGAGTTTGTCAGGAAGCCAGATGCTGCTATTGGAAAAGTAGCTGCTATGGTTTGTCATCTGAGCCTAGAAATTGATACTCAAGGATGATATGATGAGACAGACTCGATGACAGCAATGCTCTTTCTATAAATAATTTGAAAAAAACTTTCTTTTTTTCATTAAAAAAGGAAATCTCTTTTGCTAGAGACTTGCACAGCAAACCAGAAAATTAAAAAGGATAGGCCTGCTGTGTTTGAATAGGGCCATCACAAACCCACAATATACACAATTTATAGCAGCTCCTCACATATTTTACACTACATAGGCTGCATTTTCCCATAATACCAATAGTTATGAAGCTCATTATCTTTTTGACAAGGGAGAAATGGAATATTATTCCTTTACTTGCTTGATCATATCAAATGTCAAAGCAAATTATGAATGCTTGTCCTTCAAATACTCATCCCTCCTGGTAAGATATTAAATATCAATAGTGTTCACATTCTGCTACAGGATGAACTAATATTGTACACATCTCCCAGATCTAAAGTTCACTGTGCCTGTTATCTGCTTTCATCTCTTAAGTCCTACCTTTTGTCCATGCCCTAAGACCTGGGAAATTCATTACAGTGGTAAATACCACCATAAAGATTATCTGGAGTATGTGTTACATCTGTGAGTAGTGGTCACTCGTGAGTTTAAAGTGTTAAAAAGGGAGTGGGAGAAAGAATGGGGGGTTAATAGGACTAAACCTTGGTTTTGCATTGTGTTTCCAAGGATTTAGAGAGGTAAAAGTTATCGAATCATAGAATAGTTAGGGCTGGAAAGGACCTTAAGATCATCAAGTTCCAAGCCCCCTCCCATGGGCAGGGACACCTCACACTAAACCATCTCACCCAAGGCTTTGTCCAACCTGGCCTTGAACACTGCCAGGGATGGAGATTTCACAACCTCCCTGGGCACCCCATTCCAGTGCCTCACCACCCTAACAGCAAAGAACTTCCTCCTTATATCCAATCTAAACTTCCCCTGTTTAAGTTTTAACCCATTACCCCTTGTCCTGTCGCTACAGTTCCTGTTGTGATGAGACACAACTTCTAGCACAACAGACCTGCTAGAAGTTCAGTGAAACAATCTTTACCTTTCTTGTAGTGGGGTAAC